GAAAAATTAAAGTTTTATAGTATAGGAAAGTTATATTTTGTGCTTTAGATAATATATATAAAATGAACGTGCTTGCTTCCTGCTATGATACCTGCTATTCGATTATCGGACCTCGTAAGTACTAATTTTTAATTTTTTGTAAACAAGGTTGTAATATATCATTTTTTTCACGAAGAAAAGCGGTTAAATAATTTTATTATTTGATACACTCCAAAGCCCTTGTTTCGATTTTCAGCTGCTAGAGGGACCCTTTTAATTTTTCGGTAAATTTAACCCTTTTTAACTTTTCGATAAATCGGGTAGTAATGTATATTTTTCCTCGGGAAGAATATCTCTTCAATAGAGGTAAAGTACTAACACACCTCGAAGCCTTTTATTTTTATTATTGTCAGACCCATGGAACCTGTAGAATCAATGGATTTTTTTCCTTCCAAAGAATGCTCTGCGTTTAAAACTTCCAAAGAAATGCTCTGCGTTTAAAACTTCCAAAGAAAAATGTTCTGGGTAAAGCGGTTTCCGATTTTTTTATTCGGAAACCGCCTTACCCAGAACTTGTATCGTTACCTAAGGAAAAAATTTCTCTTGTGTTCCTTAGTCTCTGATCTGAAATTAACAAAGACGATACTCCTGAAGCATGAAAGTATGCTTTAAAATAAGCAGATTTTTCCATTCTACTTCCAGGTTAAAACAGACGGACATAACTTCCATTCATGTTTCCCGTGTTTGTAAGTGAGCTTCCCTTTCTCTATAATCTCATTACAACCCCACTGTACCATGAATTACCTCTTTTCATTTTCGCTACTTTCTAGGGTTTTGGAAAATACGGTGACTTCTGGGGCTAACATGCCACAGTTAGGCCCTACAATTGTGTAACATCTTGATGCCAGACGAAAATTTTGAAAGCCATGAGTTTTTCTCAGGGAAAAGGGTGAAGTGGTGAAATGAAAATTTTAGCTAAACAGAGATGAATAAAAACTCGGCTGAAGTCAGCAAAGTATAAAAAGAAATCAAGATACTTTTATTCCTTCATAGCACAGAGTCATTAAACTCCACATTCCCCATGAACGTAATATTTAATCCTAAACAACTAGTAAATTAGCCATAAAAACTGTATCATATTACTTCATAAACAATTATAATATAATTAAATTCTGTCAGCCCACAGAGTATAGGAGAAGCCTGGTGCTGCCATGTATCGCAAGGTACCCTCAGTATAGGTGCTGGTATATTTTATATACCGATATTAAAATTGTATAAATAATCTTTTACTAACTAGTATTGATTGAAATGCGGTAAATATATAAAGTTCAGCATGTTTACTTCATATATTTGAAGATTTTGAATTTTCTCCCCTCCCCTCCAATATAATTTATGTATCTTCAAACATCATACCTTTGAACGAGATATATTCATTTCATAACTGCAAAACATTGAGCATTCGTAGCCATTTAGAATTAAAAGGAAACACTAGAAACTCAAGATTACAACTTTTGCTACAGAAGAATTAACATTTATTAAGAGGTTGAAAAATTGACAGACTTCCTTTAAAGGGTTAAACATAACAATTTATAAACTGGTATTAAAAAAGATTAAAATTGAATTTTAGAGTTTTCTCTTTAATTTCAGAGCTTAATCTAAATTTAAAATTAAAAATTAACTGGAAAGGAAGTTTAATTTTACATATTTATGTATTTTTACTTTAGTGCTTACTGGTGGCCCGTGGATAAGACCGCTGACATACTGGTTGTTCGACCTGGATTTGAAGCCCGGCAAATGGGGTGGCTAATATTTTCCCTTATATGTAAAGAACTAGTTGCCCTACAGCAGTGGTTCTCAATCTATTGTACTCCATTCATCCCTTTTATGATTGCTAAAAAAATCATTTCAATCTTTCCAAAACTCAAAAAATACATGCACATTTATTTAGATTTAGATGATTTTAAAAAAAGTCAGGCTGATCACTTTTCAGAAAAGTTAGGATGACAGGGGGAACCCTTCAGTAACTAGGCAATTCCTCAGAGAGGAGAATTCTTCCCTAGTTGAAAAGCCTCGTCTTCGAGAGAGCATTCAAGAACAGTATCCGTCCCCTTTGAATAGCTAACCCTCGCATGCTTTTCCATATTTACTCAAAAAATAAAACACATGTTTTTACTTCATTTTAAAACTAGCTGAAATATCCGTTCTACGTCCGGGTGGAGAAAAACTTTTATTAAATCTTCAAAGGCTTATTTTAAACGCAAGAGGCACTACTTAAAACATAAAAACTGACAGAACGCTTATTTCTATGGACTGGGATAAAAAGAACGGCCGCACCGAAATCTACGCAAACTTCTACTTGTTTCCGTCACAGCTGACTGATATCATTATGAAATTCTGCGACCTCTTGTGCTTCGTTTTATCGCTGCAGTGGGTACCGACGCGATATTAATGGACAATAACGCTCGCCCGCATACAGCTGGAGTACAGTGGAGTCATCTGGAGAGGGAAACCATTCCATACCTGCCGTGGCCTGTTAGACCGCCGGAGCTCAATTTCATAGAGTATGTGTGGGATTTGTTAGGACGACGGATGGTTGCAGTGCGCCGGGCCGTTGGCACTGGGGTTTATCTGAGTTGCTGCTGCTTCGAAATAACCAAATTTGTCTACAGTGACGCCCGAACTAAAAGGATGGTGGATGACGATTCTCCACCCCCAGGATTTGGCGACTGGGTCCCCTTATCCCCAGTCTCCCTTTAAAAGGGGTAGTATATAAGGTATTTCACCAGCCTTCTTAGCACGCCTTCGTAGTGTAGTGGTCAACACGCTAGGCGCGTATTCGAGAGCCCCGTGGTTCGAGTCCCGGCGAAGGCGTTGCTCATTTTTCATCTCTCCTGCTTCGAAATAACCTAATGTCTCTACAAAATAAGCGACTATTGAAGTTGAGGAATGGGAACAAATGAGATTCCTGACGCTCTTTTTCGCTTTTTATACTACAATAATTTTAATCCTATATGAGCTAAATCTCTCTAGAATTTCCTATTTCGATTTTTCTTTCTTGAACTAACTTTCCGCATACATTCAATCAATAGATATAGTCATCCAAATGACCATTAGTTACTGATGATCGTTTGGATGACAAATTTTAAGGCTGTTCAAAGCACTGAAAACCTGTGCGTAACCCCGTTAAATTCCTTAATTTTAGATTTTGAAGCACTTGATGAATGTTGCTCTTATAATCCTCTGTATCTGCAATTCAGGACAATGTTTTGAGATGGCGGAAAACGGAATCTCCTGACAATAACCACCTGTTGCTTTACGATGTTCTTTTCACGAGCGCCAAAATTTATTAACGTAGTTCACACATAGTTGCATATTCAGATCTCTTGATAGTAAAGTATTAGCAGAAGGTAATATATATATTATGCAGATAGCATTTATATCAGATCCATGGCTGAAGAATTCGAAATGCAAAAAATCGATCATGCATACATAAACATTTTCAACGATTATTCAGATTCAAAAGATGGTCATGATCTCAACAATGTTTAGAAAATTTAATAAATAACAAATGAATTTTTCTACTTCCGGGAAACTACTCAAATTAATTTTAAATAGAGAAGTGGAAATTCATAGCATATTGTTACGGATTTCGTATTTAAATAGCTAATGTTTGTTGAATTATAAATTAAACTGTTTTATTCCTCGTGCAGTGCAGCGCGTGACGAATATTAAAGGAAGCTAAGCGGGGAAGTTAAAAATACAGGAGCACGTGCATTTAGCATTTAAATAAATAAATAAATATCTCTTTTTGATTTTGAGAAAGTTTCAGAAAATTCTCGCACGGGATTCAAAAATGTTATACAAAGGAGGAAAACCTCTCAATTCGATCATTAATTAGTTTGTTGTTGTTTGCTTAGAAAACTGCTCTTGTTAACTGTAGCGAATTCGCGGATTACTTTCTTTAGCTGTTTTGAATTAAGTTTTCTTGAACGTTTGAGTAGTTAAAAGATAACTACTGTGAGATGTTGTAATATTGCACGAATATCTGAGAAAATTAAAGTATTGTGTTTTATTTATTTGTGATAATAATATATCTTATTCATTTTTCATCGGACTTGTGCATTCAATTCCAAATGAACCCGTTATCATATTGTTGCGTACGCACGCAACAATATGATAACATGATTTAATTTTTCATGAGAATAATCAGATTAACAACTCTGACATAAAAGGCAGAACTAAGGTATTAAATTAGCACAGAAATAATGTTGCCATGTCTACTATTATTATTACCTATGTTATAATGAACATGTTATGTGAAATCGGTGTTCCATTTGGCATAGGTCACTGGTTAACAGTTGTAGACATAGGCGGATCTCTGCAAAATATTGGGATTCTGAAAATAAAAATACAAGAACACTAAATTTATATATAGAAGTTCCCGAAAAAAATCATGAAAAAATCCTTTGAATAAAAAAAGTAACGAAGCAAATAAGAGACTGGATTTTTATATTTATCTGATGACAGTAAGACATGCAACGGCTATTTTTGCCTATGGGAAGGGATGCATTCGTGGATTATCTTTCTAAAGGAAACTGTTTCTTATTCACGTTCTACATAAGAACAGCCATAAAAGCCCGCGTGCTCCGGTAATCCAAACGGGTCAAATTACTTAAAATTTTGTCTTATCTGCTCGGTCACTGGGAGATCTAAACATATAAAGAAACTGAAGACAAGTTCCAGCTAGAAGAAAACTATGCAAATAGTTAAAAAACCATATCAAAATGTTAAATTTCATTTTTATGAATTATTATTGTAGGATCGGTACTTACTGTCTAGGAATATGATGTCTGTAAACTTACTTCTCAGGTGGCTGTCTAGGGGCTAATAAACTAGTCCGATTTATGGAAACCGATATAATTTAATGAAAACATGAATAGTTGCTACAGACTACAAACATGTGTAGAAGGAAATAGATGATATTTACAGATGAAGAGAATCGACCGTCTTTTACATGCAAACATCTTTCAGTTGCATCATCGTCTTAATGGCGGAATCGTCTGACTCCTATCATCGGAAAAGTAAGATTTATTCTCACAGCTTGTTGCGTCATCTCACAGCTTGTCTCACAGCTTGTCCGATTATAATGAACGATGCCATCCCACATTATGTTTTTTACAAAGTTATATTTTACTTCGTTTCCCTGTTTGGATTAAATCTTGAAACCAGGTTTTGATTTTTTTGCGAACCGGACTTTTTTGAAATTTTTCACATACTGTACTGCTATGACTGTACTCTATTCAAAAAAAAAAAAAAAAAAAAAAAAAAAAATCTGAAATGTTTCAGATTTTAAATTACGTCCAAAGGGGCGTTTTTTTAACATTTTGTGTTACCTTTCTTATTAATATCATGTTCCTCGCACTTAAACCATAAGATCCAGTGCAACAGCAATATCGCAAAATAGTTTTAAAACGAGCATATCTTTAGATTTCCGATACAGAGACTCACGCGCTGGAGATAAAATGTTTTTTCTGACAAACGTTGCCATTGCCGCTTGAAATCCTTGAGTTTATTAATCAAAATTCGTCAAAGTTTTAAAAATAGGAAATCGATCATAAAACAATTCAAAATTTCAAATTTGGTCTTCCACATGCATATTCGTGGAGATTACGTTATTCAAAATTCGATGACTCTATGTACCGTTGTTTTATCACAATACGAGAATATAATACTTTATGCAGATTTTCATTATTTAATTTCTTCAAATTAATGCAGGACTCTACATTTGTGGCAACATTTTGAAAGTGAACCGACATTTATGAGTCCGACGCAAAATGCCAAAACGAACTAATGTCCTTCGAGATCAAATCCCTTTGGACTAAAAAAAAAAAGGTTTTTAAAATTCGAAGCAGTTTTAATATTTAGTATGATATTTTCCTCAAACAATTTTAATCGTCAAAAATTTTGATCTCTGTAAATTGGTAGAGGAAAAAATTTCACATGAGTTGTTTGGAATTTCCAAACTAGTTTACCAAATTTTGGCGGTTGATAAAAATCATTCAGTTTTTTTTTTTTTTTTTTTTTTTTTTTTTTTTTTCCCCTCACATTGGTAAATAGTAATTGATTTCCGGATCGAAATATTTGATTCTTCCTTTTTTAGAAAAGTATAATTTTAAGTGATAGACATCTAAATTACACAAAAGTTTTAATTTCGGCTTGGTTGGAAGAGTTTTCGGCGTTTTAAAATATTATAAAGATTGTTCGTATTTTTCTTTATATAATGTGCAGCGGGTTAGAGAAATGTATGCTGCAATTAGATATTTTTTATTAACGAAGCGTTTTCTCAAACAGGTCAGCAGTTAATGCTTACGGATTAAATTTTAGTTGAAATGAAATAGTTTGGTTTATTGATGTGAAATTTGAAAAGGAAAATTTTCCTACTAAAATTAAGGGGTCTGAAGCTAAAATTAAATTTTTAAATTTTAGTAATTTACCGTTGTTGAACAGTAGATAATAGCGTTTTTCTGCCGAAAATCATGGTTCCGCGTGCGGTTTCTGAATGGTATTCATCCCCACACGATAGCGAAATTCGGCGCCGCGGTTAAAACGGAGCAGCTGCTTAAAGAAGGTACAGAAAAAGATTCCTCAATAACTCCTTTTGAACAGTTGCTCCGTTTCCGCTTGCATCACCGCAAATGAAATGTAAATCATGAAGTTTCACTTTCGTGCAGCGATGCATACCACTAGAAAAGCAAAAGGGGAGTAACAATTTACGCCAGCAGTGCTTTTACTTAGAGCTTAACAACGCCATTTCTCCGCGCATATTTCCATTACAGAATCTACTTATTCCAGTTCGGCTACCTGCCTTTACACGAAAGTTTTGCGAGATATTTTTATCACCTTGTATATACTATATGTGTAGTATAAAGTTTAGTGAACGGTGATGCACTTCAAATCGTTGTCTGACAGCAATCTCTTCCTTTTACATTCTCTTTAATTTTTATTACAATTAAAGCACATTAATCAGTCCTATTGCTTCAATTGTATTTTTTCAATGCGTGTTTTCTAGCAGGCATTGAATCTTAAATTTTTCTTTGCATCTTAAATTTTCTTTGGCGGAAACTTGGAAGAAAATTTCTTTAAAAAATCAATCAATCTATTGCTGATAATAATAATATGCACATTAAAACAAAATTATATAAGTGCTGTAATACACCAAAACAGGGGGAAGAAAAGATGTTGGTAATTACCTTGTTACATTTAGTTCTGTTTCTTACTGTTAACTTCAAAACATGGTATGGGTGTGGATTAAATCCAGGACCAGCTCTAAGCATTTTGCCGCCTAGTACGATCTTCGCGGGTCCTAAGTTCTGCTACTCGATTCTTCCATAAATTCTGAAAGTTTTGACGCTCCTAAATTCCACTGGTTAGTGCATGCCCTAAATTCTAAAAACTCTGCCATCCTAAATTTTCTTGCTTGCTTCTTCGCTTGATTCTAAAATTTTTGCTGCCCATAAATTCTGCTGTTCGGTCGTGTTTGGCGCTGGCCGTGATTGAATCTAGTAAACACCTTTATACTCGCATATTTTTCATCCATACAATGGTTTCGACTAAGTAAATCATTTAATTTTATTCCAAAATTACCAAGTTTTACAACTATTTTCCGACTTCAGTTTTGAATTGTTAATCGCCAGAAGTATGCATGTATTTTTAGATTGTTTAATAAAAAATCAAACAATATGAACCGATTACTGCCTACGATAGAAGGTCCAGACTTTAGCCTATGTTTTAGAAGTGACTAGATTTCTCATGACTCTGCGTGTCTCTCGCATAAAAAGAAAATGACCGTAATGTTAACTAGGCAACACTGAAAGCTCGCTGTACTTAGGACTGTGTTAAGGGGACGGTGGACTTTAAAATAGCTAAAAATTAACCAAAATATTGAATTTGTCTTTTTACTCTCATAACATATCATACACGTAACTACATCGTATGCAAAGAACAGAGTTCAAATAATCTTTTTTTAAAGAAGTTACAAGCATTTAAAATGTGTAAAAAACGTAAATTAGACCCTCTACTTCAGCAACTAGACCCTCTACTTCAGCAGAAAAAAATTTTTGCTCTTGAGAAAGAGGAATTTTTAGAAACATAGCTGAAGCTTTGGCTGATGTTAGATATAACTAAGCTTTGAAATGAAGCATCAGGTGAATTCGGCATCAGGCAATGGATTTTTAAATGCCTAAATTAAGCTTTGATAAAGAAGCAAATTTGAAAAACATGGTTTCTATAAGTTCCTTTCAGAGGGAAACTGCAGGAGGATGTTAATTTTAAGCAGCATTTCTTTCTCTACGTAATCAAAATTTGTTTAATCAATTCATATATTCCCGTGTACGTGTAGCAAATTATGAAAGTTTGTTTACTATTCAGTTCAGTCGGTATGGAAAAGAGCGCAAGGGCTATCTGGCTGAGCAAATAAAGGCCTTATACCCTCGGATCCATTACCTTCCTCAAGCAAAGAGATGTCTTTGCGAAGGACTTTCTAACAGAAAAAAATAATGGCTCATATTGAGGTTACAAGTGGAGAAGAACCACAAAAAAGATTATGTAGTCTGTTCATCGCAGAATCCGAACTGGTGTCGAACTAAAATTGTTCAACAAATTTATCCAAGCGACTATTTCTCAAGGGAGAATTGTACAAGAAAAATGTCAATTTTTTATATAAGGATTAAGTAGAATATTTCTCTTCCAACGCCTACATGTGTTTTTTCGTGGTTTTTCGCATGTGTAACGTGTGTACGAGCCGGTTTCCCTTAGAATGCCCTCCACGAAGCATCCCACCCCTTACGCAGATAGCCCTTGAGTGCTTAGATGTAATCAAATAAAATTTAACCCCCCTTCGCACACTGCAGGGAGGTGGAAATAGCGGTTCGTCCTGAGCAGCATAATTTTAGGTGTGGCATTTTCCGAATGGAATATTGTATAGAGGTAAGTCATGCAGATCTTCGAGGAAGGTGAAGAATAATGAAATGCTAAATTGCCATCGGAATAAAATTATATAAAAAAAAAAAAATAGTTTTTGTTCTAAATGAAGTTTTCAAGGTACCCACTACGAGATTTCACTCTTTTTTTTTTTTTTTTTTTTTTTTTTTTTTGTTGTTGTTGTTATTTATGATACTGTGTCTCAAGTAATACCATGGTTAGGAAGTTAACAGTTCTTGTTTTACTCCGTCGAACGTTTGAATGAAAATTATGAATATTAACTAAATTACAATCACGATGACATTAATACGGAAGAATTTCTTGTTAAGAGGAATTTCAATCTTTTATAATTTTACTTCCGTTATCCCAAGGAAAAACAGAAATCAGAAATGTGGAAGGTAGTCCTTTTGAATTTTTGCAATTTATTTTAAAGCACGATCTATTGTACATCTAAATATTGTAATACTACTGGGAATTTTAGTCTAAATTGCTGTAAATGTTGATATTTTTTAGAAGTGTTTTCTAAGTAAAAGTACTTTTAAAACTACAAATCTGATCTGAATTAAGAAATGCTACATAGCAGCAACATGAGCAGTCAAATAGATTTTTACAATACCATCGCGAAGAAACAAAACAAAACAAAAAAAACAAAAAAAAACAAAAAAAAAAAAAAAAAAAAGATTAATTTTTAAATGTTGGAATTAGTTGCAAGTTTTCTTTCAAAAATAAAACGCAGTTTTAATTTATTTCCCTTCGGGTAATTCTGAACTTTTTCTTAAATTATTTTTTTGTATATCAAGAGCGGCGGAAAATTCAGGGATCGCCCCAGGAAAAACCCAGAGACCTCCCAGGCGGCTTATGTTCTAGGTACGCCACTGCCTTCGAGTAATTTCTCAACTAGTTTTTTCAGCTTATGATTCAGAAACTTCTGATTTATGGTGGCAATGTAAAATGTTCGAAATTACTTTAAGTAAAAAGAATACTATTGAAAGTGACAAGTTCTTTTGAAATAAATAATATGCTAATATTAGTGTCTCCCTGCTTTGAATGTGCTATATTTATCGTTTAAGCCGTTGCTTCAGAAACACCTTGTACTTTTTCCGAATTTCAAAAAACAATTTAGTAAAAAAAAAAAAAACAGATGAAATAAGCGAGTAAATACATATATATCAGTGTTGACTGTTGGCCACGGCTGTGTTCTTGTCTTTTGTGCCTGTGTTATCGTTTAAGTAAGAATAGTGAAACCTCAGATCCTGAAAGCTTTAACAATATACTAGTTCGCTACCAAATTATGTGAATAAAAAACGCCTCAGACGAAGTAAAGTGTCTCGAATTTCGAACACTAAAGTTGATAACATATGATTCTCAAAATTATTTTGTCTCAACCTATGCTACATAATTCATACTCCGGAACATCTAAAAATATAATTTTAATGGTCTTTATTTCTTAATTCTCATTAATGAAGCCTGGGAAAAAATGAATTACAGACTGATGAATTTGACCTGGCTGAAGTTATAGCCAGATTCCAATGCAGCTGACACTTTGAGCTCTTTGAAAAAGAGTATTTTTTTATTTATTTAAGATACTGATGATGTGTTGATTAGCTACTCTTGATTTAGATCTGCCGCTGTATCTTAAGTAAACTCATGGACTAGGAAGTTAACAGTGAAGACGCGGAGAAGCTAGTACAGATGGACCATGAAAATGAGCTGAACAAATAAGGACAACAACAGAAGCAAAAGAACGCCTGTAGAAGAAATGTCTTCAAACGAAGAGAAAGAAAACAATTATTTTAGTTTCGCTGATCAGTGAAATTTATGCAAAATGGAATAACATGCAGTTTTCGAGTATCAATATTTCCTTGATAAAGTAGTAGCAACCTACAGCATAAACATTTTCAATGACAATTGCATGTCTCTCTTCAGAAACCTTAAAAAGCTCTTCACGAAGGCATTCTTTCTCTTAGACAACTGGCCCTGGTGAGCTTTGCTGTAATAAACCAAACCACTTTAGAAACATATCATTAAAACGTAGGCAACAAAGAATCACACTGCACAATTTTTTATTAAAACGAAGACTCGGTGAGTGTCAGGTATAAAGAAAAGGTACAAGAAGATGCCGCCTTAAGACCTGTTGTTTTTATGAAAGGAATTTTACCGTCTGAACACCTCTTCGTACAAGTACAGTAAAATTAAATGCTTGTTTTTTTTTTATTTATTTATTTACCGATTTCTACTGGTTTTAGGTTATGAACTTGCGGAAAAAGCCTTGTCGTAAAATTTTAAATAAGCCATCACAGGTGTTCCAAGAACAAATTAATCCATTTTATATTAATTCCTATGGAGAAAACTGTTTTTGTTCACGAACAGCCTTCAGGAAGGAATTAAATTCGTGAACCGAGGTTTCACTGGATTTTCAATATAGTGTTTTTTAAGCGGCCAATAAAAAGTGCCTCTGAGGGTCCTGATATCCGACTCCTCATTAAATTCTGAAAATTTTTCTCTCGTAAATTCTACTACCCAGTACTCCATCTAAATTCTAAAAATTGTGCTACCTCTAAATTTTGTTGCTTGGTATTTCTCTAAATTCTAAAATTTTTGGAGCCCCTAAATTCTGCCGCTGGGTGCAGCTCAACTGCCTCTGCCTAAGAGAGCTCTTAGGTTTTAAAAAAATATGCCGCAGTCTAAATGAACTGATAATTTTTTCTCAATGGAAGTATCAAGTTGGCACATATAGCTTTCTTCTGAAAGCCGCCTGGCACGTGTTGTCCTTTAACAGAAAAGATTCCTCTACTTTCAAAATGAGTTTGAAACATTCTAATAATACTTAAATAAAACTCTTTTAGTATAAATCGTAGGTGAGCTTTACCTTCACAAAAAATAAACAAACGGTCCCCCAAATATATGAAAGAGATACGTGCCGTCTTAAACTCTTGCTGCTTTTCTACCCAACTTTATTTCAGCTTAAACGCCAACATTTGTGAACTTTTAACTAAGATCATTCACTTCATTCTACTCGATATGAATATCTTGGCGGGCAATCTTGTTATTGATTCAAGCTACGTCGATTTGTTTGCCTGATGTAGACCTTATCTCCTAAAACACGTGTTTATCCCATGAACATGCAACACGTTTGGTTTATGTGCATTTCAAAATTAACTGCTCAAGAATTAAGAATAATATTAAGACTTTCTGCTTGCTTAAATTGCTCTTTTAACGTTTTCAGTTCCTGGCAATTACCCATTCCATAAAACAATCTGCTCAATGTATCTCTATGTGATAGTATGCGCCAACTCCTTGTGCGGGTGCTGGATTGGCAGTTCCAATGGCTTACGAAGACGTCTTTTTTCATTAGAATTAGCGAACCGTGGGTGACTTTTTCCTCTATCGAACGAAATTCGGCTTTCGAAAAGCAACATGGCAGTTGATTTCTATGCAGGTTGTCTTGGAGGTAAGTTAACCTTTTTTTTTTTTTTTTTTGGTTGTTATTATTTTGTCTTCTTCTGTGTTTCTTGCTTTTTGTTAACGTAGGCTTTTAGTGCTTGGCAAGTAGCTGGAATTTAATTCGAAATGATAAATACATAAATACTCTTGTTTAATTCCCTTTACTCTAAAATAATGCTGCGAAATATGTTATTTTAATGAAACTGTTACCGAGTTTAAAATAAGTAAGCAATTAAAGTACTGTTTCCACATTAGTTACAAATGTACCACTTAATTTACTTATTTTGTAGAATTAGGTAATAAGCATTTAATTGTTTATTTTCATAAGAAAAGTTTTTTAAAATTTACTGAATTATTGGTAAAGCACTAAAAAATTCGCTGCCTATGGCAGCAGGCTCGGAAAACATTTCAAGAATTTCTGAACTCTTTATCAACCCCTTCCACTTAAACATGTAGTTGTAATAGGTTTCTTTTTTAAAAAAAGCTGATGGGATTTTTATAAGCTGTTTATGTTTTTAAATTACCTACATATAATACATTTATGTCAATGAGAGGAATTATAATAAATTTTTATGGTTGATTGGTACTGCCAATGTGACGGGGTAGCTTAGTGACTTTTTTCAAGACTAAATCCGTGTGGCTCGAGATAATTGAATTTCACACTTGAATCTCTGAGGAATTTATGTCTAACTTATTTCCCTTTTTTACTAAGATGGAATTAGCGTGCACAAAGCAGGCTACAAACCATATACATGTTTTGAAGTGCTAGCAAAAGTGAAATTACCACTTCAGAAAGTTTAGAGTATTTTTTGTGCATTTACGTTTGTCCGAAAGTACTTTAAGGCCATATTTCTAAGAGTTTCTTAGCTTTAACATCAACTGACAATCAAATAAATTCCTTTTTTAAGTTATATTCCATGCCTTCAATTTCTGTTGAAACTGGCACTATAACCCAGTCTGGAGTATGCATGTTTTCTGAATCATCAAAGAGCAATTTAAAATCATTTCTATTGTTTTAAATATCCTCTGTGTATATTTTTAAGTCTTTATCTTTTATTTCCATCGACCCCCGATTTCGAATAGACCCTTCATGATGTGCCTTTGACTCTTGAGATTTACATCAACCACCTTGAAGTCCCTGGCCAAGAGATGCTTTTGCGAAGATTACTACAGAAAATGGGCTCATATTTAGACTTGTAAAAGCGAAAAACTATTAAAAGAAACCTTGCAGCAATCTGGTTCCGCTAACGGAAATCCGATCTGAAATAATTCATTTCTAATTAGCTGTGAAATAGTTAGCTTACATTGCATAAAGTAACTTACTCGGTGAATTTCATGACAAAAATTTTTCATGCATATTTTTACATATGAAGTCTCTCGTTTCAAATAGCAAATCATTAACTTTTATTATTGTTGCATTTTCAAACACGCTTAAAATCATTTTGAATAAGCAATTCCTCTTCTCTCTTCCTCATTTCTTTTTTATCAGCAACTATTTTTCACACTTTAAAATCTTCTTTAGAACACCTATAGTTGAAAAGACTAAAAACATATGACTGTAGAAAGAAAAAATTTATTGAAAAAAGTAATAATTTATTTTTCAAAAAAAAAATGTATACCAAAGACTTGTAAAAAGAAAGAAATTTACCAAAGATATTTGTTAAACATTAGTTTAAAATTTCAAATATTATTTAAAAGCAATAATAAATTATGTAGTTTTATGTTTGCTTTTGTTCATTTTACGAATAATAATTACTTTTTTTAGGTTGTGCTGGTGTACTAGTTGGTCATCCTTTTGATACTGTTAAGGTATTTTTCTCATTTTATATAACTACTGATAAATTCCTAAATATTAAAAAGCAAAAAAAGCAAATGACTGCTGCAGTTGAGTGAATTTAGCCATATAAAATTTTACGTGTTTCCTAACTGTGTACAGAAAGAGAAAATATTTATAACGTACTATGTTCTTTTTGTAACATTAATATCATAAAGTCAGGACATATTATTTTTAAAAATAAGTTTCCTAGTGATATTTTACAAAACTAGTAAGAGTTTAAAGCAAATAAATAATTTTAGAGGGAAAGCATGCGACACATGCAATTTAAAATCAATGGTCTGCATTTTAATTTAAATATCTGGAAACTTTACTAACGCAATTTACGTACAATGGCTGACATTTGCTTTCGGACATTTGTATTTTGGAAATTCATTATTTATTTGCATAGATCTTGCACTAAATATTAAAATACAAACAGATAGTTTTTTCGAATGAATTTTTCTCTATTTTAAGCCTTGCTTATTACAAAATAAATATCGTCAAAATATTCCTTGTAATAAAATAATTTATTCACGAATGTTACCCAGTAACTCGTATAATAATCCAATTTTGTTGAGATGTTTCAGCAGATGATGCTTCTTGTGAGAATTTTTGTTTTAAGTGAAAATATATCACAAACTCTTCGCACTTATAATATTATTTTTTTTAAAAATATAATAAGAGTTTCGCATCTGAAGTGAACATGGAAAAACACTACAGATTAAATAATTTCTATTAGAAATTTTAAAATGGTAAAAGTAATTGAAGTGTCCGAAAAAATTCTTAATGTAAATTATTCAGCAGTTTTTGATGCAATAAAGGGATGGAACTGTTGAAAATGTCTTATCTGGACCACATTCTAACATAATACGAAGAAATGGGAGATTTATATCATGAAGAATCAAACAATACGCAAAAATTAGTATTGTAAAATTTGCAAGGACGAATGGTTTGCAATAATAGTTCACCCTGAAACTGTTAGAATAGTTATTATGACACACAAATACAGCAAGCGGTCAGCAAGAAGAAAATTCTTGTCAACAAGGAAAATGTCTGGCGTTTACAGAATGCTTGATAGGCAAAGATTTAGCACATTGAAGTAATGTTGTATTTGCGGATGAGTCGAGATTTAATATGTCTGTGTTGGAGGGATGAATTGCTGTATGGCGATAGCTTAATAAGAAAGGAATCAGAAAAGCCTACTGTTAAGCACGAGGGTTGGATTTATAATGTTCTGGGAATGTTTCGCTGCTTCTGAAGGAAAATTTAGTTTTTTTCCAAAAATAATAAATATTCTTAAATATACAAAAATTCTTAAAAGCATCTGAAAAAAACCTAAAATGTAAAATATGTTCATCTTTTATCAGGATAAGGATCCTAAACATAAAGTCCTAAATATATGCTTGTGATTATGATACAACTGTCTTGAAGTAATCAGAAGTTTTCCATATTTACTAGACTTGCATCCTATTAAATATGTATGGAGATGAGAAAAAAGAATAAAATAACATGACATTTCTTAGAAAGCTCTACTATAAATAAATCTTGCGTGTTAATGGAACAAAATAGAACATTCTCACACAAAATTATTAGTTCAATGTATGACAAAAGGCATGAAAAGTCTATTTTGACCTAAAGGATATCCAACAAAATAATTGTCTTGTTATTTTCATGTTTTTATAACATATAAACTTATAGGGTTGTCACTTATAATGTAATGCTAATTAGTCCAAACACGACAACAAACGTGAAGCAAATTATCGCTACGTCTTTTTGAAACAACGATAAGTCTTAGGAATGTTAAACATAGCCTTTTTATTTAAACAGAATTTAGAACGCAATGGCACTCTCTTGTACTGCAAAATAAACCACAACTCATGCTGATTCAATTAGATAGAACACCCAGATTTAAGTTAAATAAGGAACAATAGTCAAAGATTACACAGTTGATTACTTTATTAGAAACTGACTCACTACTCTACTGGAGAATTACTTTACTAGAA